TTTAATAAATTTATATTTTTAGAATTTATAAGACTTGAAAGGATTATGTTAGATTTTAAAAAATAATATAGATTTTTAAAAAATAATACATTTATATTTTCTCTATTATATCAGTGATATATAGTTGAATATCAACAAGCTATTTTAAAATTTAAAAAATATTAATTAAATATAAATAATAAAAAAATATTTGTTATGAGAAATATTCAATTCGATAAATGTTTTTTTGTTACCTAAGTGGATATACAACAAAAATATGGGAAGAAAAGAAAAATAATAATAACTATGATAAATAGTTGTATGAGAAAAGAAAAAAAAATATAAAAAGGAATAAATTAAATGGTATGATTTCTTATTTTTGGTGTATACTTTATTTTTAAATAATTTTAATCTTAACATTTTATAAAATTAAATAATAATAATCAATAACAAATTAAAAAATCTTTTAATATATTAATTTTTTTTTATCTCCGGTCCACTCATCGTATCTATATCTATATATATTCCTTCTATTATTCATAGTCGTTTTAGTATTATTACTTTTTCATTTTCAATTATCATTTTTTTAAAATTAATAATTTATTACTTTTATTTTTTTATAATTAATGTGTATTTTTTGAATAATATATTTATTTATTTTTAATATACCTATATTTTCTTTAATCATCTAAAAAACATAACAAAAAATAATAATAAATATTTTTAAAAATTAATAAATCAATCATTTTCTTAAATTTTATATAATCTTAAACGTAAAAAGAAAAAAAGGACGGAGGGAGTATATGACATTGCCTTTTAAACGTTCGGAACCCTATAAAATTTCTTGATGAGGCAATATGTCAGGATTTCGGGCTAAAATTTTGGCAAATTTAATGTCTGACATGTTACTGTCAAACTTCTAATCCAGATTTACAAGTTAAAGACGACCGTCACTTTCTGTATTAATTGTTCTCTATTTAAAAAAAATAAAAATAAAGAGAGAAAGAAGAAAAGCAAAAGAACTGGAGTTATATAAAAAGTTCAATTGTGAGTCATGCCTTGTTGTCTATACGGTCACACGGCGAGATTATCGGAACTCAAACAACCACTGTTGGAATTGGAACAATTCAGTTTCTGTAGAGTAACAAGTATATTTTGATGATAAAATTTTAGTAAAAATATATTTTTTTTTCTTATATTATTTATTAGTGTTAATTTAATTTAATTTTAATTAATTAAATTAATTTAGTTTCATATTTTTAAAATAGATCTTAATGTTTAACTTTTTTTAAAAAAATATTTAATAGATATGTGTGCCATGTTATTATGTCACGTGACATACATGTGATATAACACATGACACGATAATATGACACTTGTCATGTCATAATGTTACGTATTAAATCTGTTAAGTATTTAAACGGAAGAAACAAAAAGTCAAATATTAAAATATATTTTAAAAATGTGAGACTAAATTAATTCAATTAATTAAAATAAGACTAAATTGACACTAATAAATAATATAAAAGACGAACAAGTATATTTTTGCCAAAAATTTATTAAGTGTATTAATTAAAAAACAGCATTTAAAATTATGATAAAGATAAATATATTTATAATAAATTTTGAAAGTAATTATTATATCAATAATTCAATTTTAATTAACTGTGATAGATATATTTTGCTTTAAAATACATAGAAATTATTTATCTATTTATGTTAATAAGGGAGGATTTTTTAAGCATATTAATAAGGGAGGATTTGAATCATTTATAAAAGATCATAAATTTATGAGTGGTTTTAAAATGTTTTACAGTTTTGTTAGCACAATTTTTAAGCTTGTTTCTAAACATGATATTTTTTTTTTCGACAAGAAAAGCAGTCAAAATTTTCCCTTAATTAATTTTACTTATTAGATTAAAATATAAAATAATTTTACAATTTAAGAAATTAAATATATTTCTTTTCATACTAGTTTATAAATACCAGTGAAAAAGATATGTGTCTCTATAAATTTAGTTTAAAAATAAAATAAAATAAATAAAATAATAGAGATTACAAAATGTATATAAAGTAAAATAATGTAAATAGTTTTTAAATAAAATAAAAATAATAGGGTAAAACAATTTTAAACAAAAATGAAGATAAAAAACGATTATAAAATAAGTGGATAATTGTTATTAATAAAGTGAATAATTATTGTTTTGTATACATTTTTTTTATTTTATTATTGAAAAATATGTTGATAAAAAAGAATTGAAATATAATAAAGATATATAAATGTCTAAAAAAATAACAACTAAAGGTAAGTCATGTTTTATAAGCACAAATTAGTCCTTAATTATTAATTTTAGGATATTATTAGATTATGTTCATAGAACTTTTTTTTTTTTTAAAGTATAGTATTATTCTTCAATAAAATCTGTTATTATTATTATTATTATACTAAAAAATATTAATTATCACTTGTGAGGTCAATTTATAAAATTTCATTTATTGTATGAAAATATAATAAAATATTCAATAAATCAACTGATTTTAATGCATTAAAATATTACTTTTGATCAACTATTTTCATAAAGAATAATGTTAAGAGATCATTCAAAAAAAAATATTATCTTTTATTAAAACATAGTAGTACTATTTAAGGGAAAAATAGAAAAATCTAGATTACTTTATTTATTTAAAAAAAAAACAGATTTTTAGGTGAAACATCCTTTTCTTGTTGGCACTTTCAATCTTCACACATAGACAAAAAGAGGGGAAATATAAAAAGGAAGGGAAAGCCCCTTATTGGAAAATAAAATTTGACCACTTGGCTAATTGATTAGTCTGGTTGACTTAAATTCCCTGTAATCATGGCTGCTCCAATTAGTTAAGTGATACGCATGTTTCGGCTCCACCATTTCTTTCCCTCTTTTCTTTATATCGGTCCTACTTGCTTCCTTTACGCCAATCTTTCTAACGGGTACTCTCATGATAAAGAATTTAAAGTTTTTGTTTTATTTATAAGAGATGGCACGTGAACTCAAAAAATATATACGACTCACACTATTCTATATTAGTATTTCTACATTATACATACATTAGTGTAAAATAGTATTTTCTAAAAATATTTTTTCAAATAACATTTAATAATCATTTAATTATTAATATATTTTATTTTAAAATTTCGTATTCATGATTTATTCAACAAAACTTAATTATGATATGATGTTATATATATTGCTTCAGGGATGTATAAAAAAATATTGTTCCTGGTCAATAATATTTATTTTCAATAAATTTCAACATTAATAAATAATAAATATATTATTTATTTATAAAATTTATTATCAAACCTTAAATACAAAATTTGCATAATAAACTTAAACAAATAGTAATTTATACCTATTATAAAGGAGATATATTTTGGTAACCACTCATTTGATCTCCACTTTTTAGTGAACCATTATATTCTTTAGAATATATAAAAAAAAATTCTTATATTTTTTCTAAATAATTATCTACAACTTTTTATATTTATCTGTATGTAATTATTAGAAGTTTAGGGTTTAGGATTTAGAGTTCGAAGTTCGAAGGGTCTCGATCCCTCTAATAATAATAGATATAAATAGACCTTCACATATATATACACACAACAAAACCAACAGAATTGTGTATTAAAAGGAAACATGAATTTTGATCTTATATATGCGTAATATTGTGGCTGCTACATCTATAGCTGTAATAAGAGATATTTTGATTTAGTTAATTTTTATTAACTATTTCACTTTTATGAAGTTAATAATACACTTTAAAAAAAAATTACAGTGAGATGAGACACAAAAGACGATTTTTTTGCTAGTAATGTATAAAACAAATCATTTTCGGCATGGAATTATTTCCGACATACAAAATGTCCATGATCACCTAATGTCAGCATAAGAGTAATATGCAGAGAGGGATTTAATTTACTGAACTTTGCGTAAAAATTCAAAGCAGACAAAGAAAAAACGTTTAGCTTAAATTAATCTTCTTCATTATTGGAGGTGAAACATGAACTTATCGTGATTATTTGGCTAGTACCACGATATGTTTTCAATTTTCAACAGACAACGACATTACATGAACACGAAGGAATGAGTAGAGAGCAAGGTTGAATGATAAATGTCTAACCTAATGAATTAATCTATTATCGAGGAGGTTAGGATATTTTATGTCTCTAAATTATAATTATATATATTATTTTATATTTATTTATAAGAAATTACTGTATAATTAAATAAATAAAAAAATCAAAAATAAAAATAGAGATAAAAACGATTATTTAAAAAAAATTATTAATAGTTATAATTAAATATAGACAGAAGGAATCATTGTCCTAGAAAGTCAACCCACCACGAAACCACATTCAAGTTTTAATTAATTTTTTTCCTGAATTTAATTAAATATTATTATTACGCCGATGAGGATGTGAAAAATAAAATAAATAAAAAAAGAGAACTAACCTTTCCGGCAAGCTGTTCCGGCCAAAAAGCCATCGCCGACGAAGCCGTGGCGGCAGTGACACCGGAAGCCTGGTTTTCCGTCAAGAGGCGATTGAATTACGGTACAATCGGCGTGATCGGAGCATAGACATTGATCTCCCCCGAGCCACCATCCAAGTTGTATCGTATTCATATCGAGAGGCAAAGGCGCGTCGGAAGCGTTTGAGTAATTTGGCGATGAAAGGGAGGACATAAAGTACTTGCATCCAATTTGGTTGAATCTAGTGTAATTCATGAAGCCCTTGGTTAGTTCGTCGTAGTAGCAGTTCAAATCGCCGTTGCCGGAGGTGTTGCAACCCACGGAATCGAATCTGGTCCGCACCAGAGCCTCCGGTATGGAGCAGGGCAAGAGCGACTGGGTGCAGTTGGCTAGGAAAAGCACGTTTCGCGAAGTGGGCGCGTATTTGTGACTGAAGAGGTGAACGGTGTCAAATGTGCGATTGCATTGGGATTTGATGTAGAGGAGTATGCTGTCGCGGGTTACCGATTTGACCGGTAAGTCTCCGAGGGAGGGTCCGTCGGCGGTGCAGTTGAGGCGGATTCCGCAGCCGGAGGAGAATCCGAACGGGTAAGGAAAGGGTTGGGAGGAACCGCATGTTTGGAGGCAGTGGCGAGAGTTCACTTGGGCCTTGATTATTGGAATGAATAGTACGAGGAATAATACATGTGATTTAGTGATCATAGTGGACAATATTTAAGGAAGCGTTGTTTTCATTGTTACAGGGTACAGAAACAAGTTTTTGTGGTTGGTCGGAGGGAGGAGTGGGGTGGGACTAAAGTGAATTTTGGGTGATGAGAATGGGAAAGTGCATGTGAATTTCTAAACACCACTGGTTTCTAATGGGAAAAAGGAAAAGGAAAGGATGAAAGAAATATATGGAAGATTAACTTAAGGGGTGGGAGATTTGTTTGTTCGTTTCCACGCCCATATCTTTATAGTATTTGTCTTCTTTTCACATTCCTGAGATAATTTTTTAATGACATTAAATAATTAATGGGTAAAGAAGGAAAGAGGGGAGAGAGTACTAATAATGACACAAATATATTGTAATAAACCGTTTCCAAACGGAACAACGACCCAACATATGTTTTGAATGGGTGTTGATGCTGAAGATGCTCGCTCACGGGTGCTCCAGTCAACGTTTTAGACTGGGAAGGGATCAAGGAATGATGGAAGATGAATTTACAAGAAATTGTGCAACAAGGATTAAGCCAACCAACAATTTTAACAAATTATTTTGTCAACAATTCTCGCCATTGACATCCATTTTGTTTATACTCTAGTTTTTTGGGGCACTGCTAAATCGCCTACAACATGATTTAAATTACTTGTGGCTATATTCACTGTATACAATTAACTTTACTAGCATTTTTTCAGTGACAATTCTCGCTGTTTCATCCCGATAAATTCAGATCTAAAAAGGACAATCCATTTAAAGGAGGTCAAACTCTTTCAAAATATATTTTATATATACAAAAATAATAATTAAATTTGAGAAAAAAATCACTTATACTCCCACCTTCAAATTATGTATCTTTAATGTTTTAAGTCAATAATTATTAAATTGTTATTATCCATTAAATTTAAATTCATTCTTCTTTTTTTCACAGATAAATATGGGTTCCACTTTTGACTTTAACAAAATGATTCTAATCATATTTTAATTGGTTTTGAGTATGTTTGGTAAACATTTTCATTTAATTTTTATATTTTTTAATGATGCACTTGGTCTATCAATGAAAGTAAGACAACTAAGACTTTTGTCTTCGTGATTGTAAGACCTATTATGTAATACGAGATTAATTTGATGCTATAAAGTTCAATTCTTGTATATGAATAGAGATGCACTATAAAAAATATGTAATTTAACAATCATCAAAATCGGTCGTTAAATTGGAAAAATTGGTCGCTATTTATCTTAGTGATTGAATTTAATCTGTCAATAAAACCCTGATTGCTAAGCTATTTAGTGATGGAAAAATTTTCAGTCGCTAAATGGTTGCAATGATTTTGGTCTCTGAAGTGTATGAGACCAAATTAGTGACTGAATAAATCGGTCGCTAAATATTAATTTTTTATTTTATTAAATTTTATATACGTCGCAAATTTGGTCGCTACGAACCACTTATATTTGGCCTCTTAAGGATTTTATTTCACAATACTTAACTTTTTAACATGTTTTGTCCTTAATTACACAATTTTCAGAAACTTCTCAGAAGGTCACTCATCCATATATTACTCCAAGTCAAACACGCTTAACTATGAAGGCTACCGAAAAACAGATGCATGTTGTTAGTATAAGTAGTACAAATTAATTCATTTAAGTCATCCTCAACTATTCAATCTCATACTTATATTATCTTTGGATTCTTATCATTTTGGTGTATCCGGACCGTTATAAATATATAATAATTATATTACTAATAATAATAATTATATTATATTTAATTAATCTTTATTTATATATACACTTACTTTTATAATTAACAATCTACTTATTTCTATTTAAAATTAATTTTATGATACAATTTAAATTATTTATTATAAATTTAAAAGTTTAAATAATAATTTATATATTTTAAAATGAGAAGGGTTATAATAACACTGGTATAACTTTTACTAAGTATTACACCGCTCAATAACTTTATATTAAATGTGAATTTTGTAAATCCAACCGTTAGATTGAAAGTTCATATCACTTTATATGTTTATATCAATTTTTGTTAAAATTGAACAACAACTTAAAAGTAATCAAAGTGCTCATATTTTATTTGAAATGTATATATTACGTCAATTTTGTTTTACAAGAATGAAGTATCAAATCATCTTGAATTCATATAAAATTTTGTATATATGATCTAAGAGTAAAAAACTTTCAATCTAACGGTTGAATTTATAAAATTCACATTTAATATAAAGTTATTGAGCGATGTAATACTTAGTAAAAGTTACACCGATGTTATTATAACCCTTCTCTTTTAAAATATTATTTTTATAAATTAAATTTTAACATTTTAAATAAATTATTAATTAACTTAATATATTTATTCATCTTAAATCTAAGATATAAAATTCAAAAAATGTATTTATCCTTGTTTTATTTTCTAATTATCAACCATTAATAAAACACTAATTTAAAATCTTATATAGTTATATCATAATATTTTCATATCAAGTTTAAAATCAGATATTAGTTATACAAAAATATTAAAATCATATAGTAAATTATTAATAAGATTCTAGTTAAATAATTTAAAATAATTTAAAATAATCAATTTTATCACACAATAATAAAGAAATATTAATAGTTAAGAAAATACATTTGTACTCTCCTTATTAGAAATATATATTATAAATATGGATCAAAATAAATACGAAATTTTAAAATTCATATACTCTAATTAAAAAACTGCCTAAAAATTCAATCGTAAAAAAAAACCTCTAAATATTTTTTTACATAAATAACTATTGGTATTAATTATGTAGGAATGCATATAAATATTTTTTTTATTATAAATTAATGTCTTTCCCTTACAAAAAAAGAAAATGGGATTGATACTCAACAACAATATTATCATCACTTTTAAGCAATTTATAAATTTTTTTAAGTTTTACTTAATAACCGAATAAAATTTCATCGCTAATTTTAACTAATATTTAGCGACCGAATAGAATTATGTTGTTAATTTTAACTAATATCTAGCGACCGAATATAATTACATCGCTAATTATAACTAATATTTAGCGATCGAATTTAATTTCGTCGCTAAAAAAATCAAAATTTCTAATTTAGAGACTAAATTCAATTCTGTCGCTAATTTTAACTAATATTTAGCGACCGAATTTAATTTCGTTGCTAAATTTAACTACTATTTAGCGATCGAATTGAATTCCGTCGCTAATTTTAACTAATATTTAGCGACTGAATTCAATTTTGTTGCTAATTTTAACTAATATTTAGCGACCGAATTCAATCTTGTCGCTAATTTTAACTAATACTTAGCGACTGAGTTCAATTCCGTCGCTAATTTTAACTAATATTTAGCGACGAATTTAATTTTGTCGCTAAAAATATCAAAATTTCTTATTTAGCGACCGAATTTAATTTCGTCGCTAAAAATATCAAAATTTCTTATTTAGCGACCGAATTTAATTTCGTCGCTAAAAATATCAAAATTTCTTATTTAGCGACCGAATTCAATTCCGTCGCTAAATTTAACTACTATTTAGCGACCGAATTCAATTTCATCGTTAATTTTTAACTAATATTTAGCGACTGAATTAAATTTCGTCGCTAAAAAAATCAAAATTTATAATTTTGCGACCGAATTTAATTTCATCGTTAAAAAAATAAAATTTCTTATTTAGCAACCGATTTTCTAACGACAACTTATTTTGGTCGCTAAATCGGTCGCTATTTTGATTATTCATAATCGGTCGCTAAATCAGTCGCTAAATAGCGATTGATAAATTTTGGTCGCTATTTTACAATTTTCTAGTAGTGATGGCAAGGGGTAGGGTTTGGATAAGGTCTTATAGCACCTGTTTCCATACTCTGTTTAAAAATAATATCTATATTGAGTTTCGTAGTAATTTTAATATTCATCCACATACTTGCTAATACTTGTGTACTCATACCTGCACTCATGATCCATATTTTACTTATATATAAAGTAAATAAATCAATAAAAAAATAACATGTTATACAAACAAACATAATATTAATTTTTCAAATTTTTAACATTACAAAAATCTAACATAACAATTCTTATAAATAAAGATTACAAAATATTCAATTCTTGTAAATAAACTTTTAAAAAAATTCAACATAGTAAAAGTTGTAATTAAACTTCCAATATCATGATCATGTGTTAACAATATTTTTCAAGACCTATGAAAAAATCATGCAGGAATTAGTTAGATTAAATTATATACTATAAATTTTAAAAAAAAAATGTAAACATTTGACCTCATATTAGAATCAATTTCTCCATACTTTTACAAACATCTATCTTCTAAGTTTATATATTGTTTTCATTCGGTAAGACTAATATAAACTACATGAAAAGAAAATAAATGATTAGACAATTTAACTTAATAATTAAAATCAACAATAAAAAATAAAATAACTTTATTAAATAAATAAAGTTTAATTATTTATTACATTGTTACTTATGTTTCAACCAACTTTGTACACACATAAGTGCCTCTAGAGAAAATTCATAGAATCTAGAATGATGAGGATTCAAAAATCTACCTCTTATATTAAATAAAAATTTAAAACTACAATTAAAATTGGGATTATCAAAATATCCTTAGCAAATTTTTGTAGCATTCCTAGAAGAAAAAAAATTGTTCTATGTTCTATTTCAGACTTTGTGTTTCAATTGTATAATTCACAAATGAATCATAATCACTAAAAAAATTGCTAATAGTTAGATTATTCAAAATTTATTCATTGACATTTGTTCATGAAGTTGAATTTCTATTATTCTCTTAACTTTAGGTTAATATTCTTCGGATAATGAATAACATAATTTTTTAATATTATTAATTTCAATTGAAGATAAGTTCTCAAGCATAGGAAAAAAATACTCCAACAACTTCAACTTGTATCTTGGATCTAAAATAATTTTTGTAGAGTGAAATAGGTGAAAAATGGAGAGAAATTGTTACTTTAAAAATGTATTTTTGATGGAAGGTGGCTTAGTTCCATGCACGCCCTTGATCTTGGTTCAACAAGGGAGACTCCAAAAGATGATGAAAAATGAAGGAGATGGTGGCGGAAGCACAAAGGTGAAGGTGAAGAGGGTTTGCTCAAGGTTGTTTCATCCAAGTGTAGGATGAAACCTATTTAGGGTTTTGCTTTTATGGTGGAGATGGGAGGAGGTTAGCCAAAGGCAACCTAGTGCTAAGGAAAAGGTTGGTGTTTAGGGTGAT